AGAGGTCCCGGGTTCAACTCCCGGTCGAACCCATTCTGTTTAATCCTTTTCGAAAAACGCGATTTTCAGTTGTAATAGCGTCGTATACAACAGAATTAGAGTAACAAAAGAGTGAAAATGTTGTGATTATTTCCGATCCACTGAAAATTTATTATTGCATTTCTAGCCTCACATCTTTTGAATACTTCAGCCGCGACATCATGGCACGGCTCGGTGGTCTAGGGTATGATTCTCGCTTTGGGTGCGAGAGATCCCGGTCGAGCCCGAACGCATATTTTACTTCTCACAAATGTAATATTTCGTCGAAAAGCAACAACAAACGCAAAGAATGTATTTTACCTGCTTATAAGATCTTAAGTGTGTTTGCGCAAACCTTACGCAAGACATTCCTACAGAGTTTAGGTTTAACAGATTGCTTTCTAGAGAAAAATTTACAAACCCAACGAGGCTGGGAGATCTAGGAGTATGATTATCGCTTAGGGTACGAAAGGTCCTTGGTTAAAATCCGGGTCGAGCCCGCTTTGTTTAACCCTTTTAAAAGAAAGTAATTTCTTTGTCTTTTTCAACAAAATTTTATTAATACGGGAGTATAGAAGATATGATTCCTTTCAATCCTCTCATTCTGCCTGAAAATTTGTTATTGCGTTTATCTCGTAATACCTGTTGAACTCTTGGGTCCTTCTTGTGTACTGTGGCTCGATGGTCTAGGGGTATGATTCTCGCTTTGGGTGCGAGAGGTCCCGGGTTCAAATCCCGGCCGAGCCCTAAGTGCTCTTTCTTTTCCAGGATTTTTGTATTTATTTCTTCGAAGATTATTTTTGAATTGTCCACAGGATACCATACATCACGAGGGTATTGAACACGAAACACGTGAATTTCGAGAAACATCTAGATACGGCGATCTACGTAAACAGCCAATCAAAATTTTCCATTCCGATTTTTTTCTTTGGACATTTAAACCTTATAAATCTGACATTTCTGAAGTAGAATAGATTGCACGTGTTGCATAGTGGCAATCTTTTGAAAATTATTTTAAATGGACTAAATTCCTAACAATTTTAAATAAGAAAGTATTGAGATAATATTGCTACTGAGCATTTCGTGGTAAAGAAAGTGTTTAAAGTTCCAAGAGGCTAATGAAAGAGTAAACAAAAATCCAAACTTAGTTCTGTGTTCTAGTGACTGTTAATGAGAAATCAGAGTGCGCGTCGTCCAGTTTTGAGTTCCGAACCAAGCCTGATGTGTAAAACGTTTCCTCTCAAATGGAACAAATGACACCCAAAAAGGAACTCTGATCGACAATTGTCCGGGAATGTAAAAACGAAGCACGTTGCCTGTTTAAGAGAAATGGCTCGTTTAATCTTGCACACAAGTATTAGCACATGCTGAAATTTTAGAACTTCTCCGAACAAGTTAATTGAACGCTTTAAAACTACGAATTGCATCCAGAACCGTGGTTCGATGGTCTAGGGGTATGATTCTCGCTTCGGGTGCGAGAGGTCCCGGGTTCAACTCCCGGTCGAACCCATTCTGTTTAATCCTTTTCGAAAAACGCGATTTTCAGTTGTAATAGCGTCGTATACAACAGAATTAGAGTAACAAAAGAGTGAAAATGTTGTGATTATTTCCGATCCACTGAAAATTTATTATTGCATTTCTAGCCTCACATCTTTTGAATACTTCAGCCGCGACATCATGGCACGGCTCGGTGGTCTAGGGTATGATTCTCGCTTTGGGTGCGAGAGATCCCGGTCGAGCCCGAACGCATATTTTACTTCTCACAAATGTAATATTTCGTCGAAAAGCAACAACAAACGCAAAGAATGTATTTTACCTGCTTATAAGATCTTAAGTGTGTTTGCGCAAACCTTACGCAAGACATTCCTACAGAGTTTAGGTTTAACAGATTGCTTTCTAGAGAAAAATTTACAAACCCAACGAGGCTGGGAGATCTAGGAGTATGATTATCGCTTAGGGTACGAAAGGTCCTTGGTTAAAATCCGGGTCGAGCCCGCTTTGTTTAACCCTTTTAAAAGAAAGTAATTTCTTTGTCTTTTTCAACAAAATTTTATTAATACGGGAGTATAGAAGATATGATTCCTTTCAATCCTCTCATTCTGCCTGAAAATTTGTTATTGCGTTTATCTCGTAATACCTGTTGAACTCTTGGGTCCTTCTTGTGTACTGTGGCTCGATGGTCTAGGGGTATGATTCTCGCTTTGGGTGCGAGAGGTCCCGGGTTCAAATCCCGGTCGAGCCCGAACGTCTCATTTTATTTCATCCAAGTATAACAGGCATATTGACACTGTACAAATAAAAATTCGAAGAATGCATTTTACCTGCGAATGAGATCTGCGAGCCCTTTGAACAATCTTTTACCGATTCGGCATGCAAGACTTTTCTACAAAGTTCTTAGTAGATTGCTTTCCACGATAACGTTCACAAAACTAACTCTAACGAGGCTCGGTGGTCTAGGGTATGATTCTCGCTTAGGGTGCGAGAGGTCCCGGGTTCAAATCCCGGCCGAGCCCTAAGTGCTCTTTCTTTTCCAGGATTTTTGTATTTATTTCTTCGAAGATTATTTTTGAATTGTCCACAGGATACCATACATCACGAGGGTATTGAACACGAAACACGTGAATTTCGAGAAACATCTAGATACGGCGATCTACGTAAACAGCCAATCAAAATTTTCCATTCCGATTTTTTTCTTTGGACATTTAAACCTTATAAATCTGACATTTCTGAAGTAGAATAATGATTGCATGTGCATTGGCAATCTTTTGAAATTATTTTAAATGGACTAAATTCCTAACAATTTTTTAAATAAGAAAGTATTGAGATAATATTGCTACTGAGCATTTCGTGGTAAAGAAAGTGTTTAAAGTTCCAAGAGGCTAATGAAAGAGTAAACAAAAATCCAAACTTAGTTCTGTGTTCTAGTGACTGTTAATGAGAAATCAGAGTGCGCGTCGTCCAGTTTTGAGTTCCGAACCAAGCCTGATGTGTAAAACGTTTCCTCTCAAATGGAACAAATGACACCCAAAAAGGAACTCTGATCGACAATTGTCCGGGAATGTAAAAAACGAAGCACGTTGCCTGTTTAAGAGAAATGGCTCGTTTAATCTTGCACACAAGTATTAGCACATGCTGAAATTTTAGAACTTCTCCGAACAAGTTAATTGAACGCTTTAAAACTACGAATTGCATCCAGAACCGTGGTTCGATGGTCTAGGGGTATGATTCTCGCTTCGGGTGCGAGAGGTCCCGGGTTCAACTCCCGGTCGAACCCATTCTGTTTAATCCTTTTCGAAAAACGCGATTTTCAGTTGTAATAGCGTCGTATACAACAGAATTAGAGTAACACAAGAGTGAAAATGTTATGATTATTTCCGATCCACTGAAAATTTATTATTGCATTTCTGGCCTCACATCTTTTGAATACTTCAGCCGCGACATCATGGCACGGCTCGGTGGTCTAGGGTATGATTCTCGCTTTGGGTGCGAGAGGTCCCGGTTTCAAATCCCGGTCGAGCCCGAACGCATATTTTACTTCTCACAAATGTAATATTTCGTCGAAAAGCAACAACAAACGCAAAGAATGTATTTTACCTGCTTATAAGATCTTAAGTGTGTTTGCGCAAACCTTACGCAAGACATTCCTACAGAGTTTAGGTTTAACAGATTGCTTTCTAGAGAAAAATTTACAAACCCAACGAGGCTGGGAGATCTAGGAGTATGATTATCGCTTAGGGTACGAAAGGTCCCTGGTTAAAATCCGGGTCGAGCCCGCTTTGTTTAACCCTTTTAAAAGAAAGTAATTTCTTTGTCTTTTTCAACAAAATTTTATTAATACGGGAGTATAGAAGATATGATTCCTTTCAATCCTCTCATTCTGCCTGAAAATTTGTTATTGCGTTTATCTCGTAATACCTGTTGAACTCTTGGGTCCTTCTTGTGTACTGTGGCTCGATGGTCTAGGGGTATGATTCTCGCTTTGGGTGCGAGAGGTCCCGGGTTCAAATCCCGGTCGAGCCCGAACGTCTCATTTTATTTCATCCAAGTATAACAGGCATATTGACACTGTACAAATAAAAATTCGAAGAATGCATTTTACCTGCGAATGAGATCTGCGAGCCCTTTGAACAATCTTTTACCGATTCGGCATGCAAGACTTTTCTACAAAGTTCTTAGTAGATTGCTTTCCACGATAACGTTCACAAAACTAACTCTAACGAGGCTCGGTGGTCTAGGGGTATGATTCTCGCTTAGGGTGCGAGAGGTCCCGGGTTCAAATCCCGGCCGAGCCCTAAGTGCTCTTTCTTTTCCAGGATTTTTGTATTTATTTCTTCGAAGATTATTTTTGAATTGTCCACAGGATACCATACATCACGAGGGTATTGAACACGAAACACGTGAATTTCGAGAAACATCTAGATACGGCGATCTACGTAAACAGCCAATCAAAATTTTCCATTCCGATTTTTTCTTTGGACATTTAAACCTTATAAATCTGACATTTCTGAAGTAGAATAGATTGCACGTGTTGCATAGTGGCAATCTTTTGAAAATTATTTTAAATGGACTAAATTCCTAACAATTTTAAATAAGAAAGTATTGAGATAATATTGCTACTGAGCATTTCGTGGTAAAGAAAGTGTTTAAAGTTCCAAGAGGCTAATGAAAGAGTAAACAAAAATCCAAACTTAGTTCTGTGTTCTAGTGACTGTTAATGAGAAATCAGAGTGCGCGTTGTCCAGTTTTGAGTTCCGAACCAAGCCTGATGTGTAAAACGTTTCCTCTCAAATGGAACAAATGACACCCAAAAAGGAACTCTGATCGACAATTGTCCGGGAAAGTAAAAAACGAAGCACGTTGCCTGTTTAAGAGAAATGGCTCGTTTAATCTTGCACACAAGTATTAGCACATGCTGAAATTTTAGAACTTCTCCGAACAAGTTAATTGAACGCTTTAAAACTACGAATTGCATCCAGAACCGTGGTTCGATGGTCTAGGGATTATGATTCTCGCTTCGGGTGCGAGAGGTCCCGGGTTCAACGCACGGTCGAACCCATTCTGTTTAATCCTTTTCGAAAAACGCGATTTTCAGTTGTAATAGCATCGTATACAACAGAATTAGAGTAACATTTTCACTCTTATGATTATTTCCGATCCACTGAAAATTTATTATTGCATTTCTGGCCTCACATCTTTTGAATACTTCAGCCGCGACATCATGGCACGGCTCGGTGGTCTAGGGTATGATTCTCGCTTTGGGTGCGAGAGGTCCCGGTTTCAAATCCCGGTCGAGTCCGAACGCATATTTTACTTCTCACAAATGTAATATTTCGTCGAAAAGCAACAACAAACGCAAAGAATGTATTTTACCTGCTTATAAGATCTTAAGTGTGTTGGCGCAAACCTTACGCAAGACATTCCTACAGAGTTTAGGTTTAACAGATTGCTTTCTAGAGTAAAATTTACAAACCCAACGAGGCTGGGAGATCTAGGAGTATGATTATCGCTTAGGGTAGGAAAGGTCCCTGGTTAAAATCCGGGTCGAGCCCACTTTGTTTAACCCTTTTAAAAGAAAGTAATTTCTTTGTCTTTTTCAACAAAATTTTATTAATACGGGAGTATAGAAGATATGATTCCTTTCAATCCTCTCATTCTGCCTGAAAATTTGTTATTGCGTTTATCTCGTAATACCTGTTGAACTCTTGGGTCCTTCTTGTGTACTGTGGCTCGATGGTCTAGGGGTATGATTCTCGCTTTGGGTGCGAGAGGTCCCGGGTTCAAATCCCGGTCGAGCCCGAACGTCTCATTTTATTTCATCCAAGTATAACAGGCATATTGACACTGTACAAATAAAAATTCGAAGAATGCATTTTACCTGCGAATGAGATCTGCGAGCCCTTTGAACAATCTTTTACCGATTCGGCATGCAAGACTTTTCTACAAAGTTCTTAGTAGATTGCTTTCCACGATAACGTTCACAAAACTAACTCTAACGAGGCTCGGTGGTCTAGGGGTATGATTCTCGCTTAGGGTGCGAGAGGTCCCGGGTTCAAATCCCGGCCGAGCCCTAAGTGCTCTTTCTTTTCCAGGATTTTTGTATTTATTTCTTCGAAGATTATTTTTGAATTGTCCACAGGATACCATACATCACGAGGGTATTGAACACGAAACACGTGAATTTCGAGAAACATCTAGATACGGCGATCTACGTAAACAGCCAATCAAAATTTTCCATTCCGATTTTTTTCTTTGGACATTTAAACCTTATAAATCTGACATTTCTGAAGTAGAATAGATTGCACGTGTTGCATAGTGGCAATCTTTTGAAAATTATTTTAAATGGACTAAATTCCTAACAATTTTAAATAAGAAAGTATTGAGATAATATTGCTACTGAGCATTTCGTGGTAAAGAAAGTGTTTAAAGTTCCAAGAGGCTAATGAAAGAGTAAACAAAAATCCAAACTTAGTTCTGTGTTCTAGTGACTGTTAATGAGAAATCAGAGTGCGCGTCGTCCAGTTTTGAGTTCCGAACCAAGCCTGATGTGTAAAACGTTTCCTCTCAAATGGAACAAATGACACCCAAAAAGGAACTCTGATCGACAATTGTCCGGGAATGTAAAAAACGAAGCACGTTGCCTGTTTAAGAGAAATGGCTCGTTTAATCTTGCACACAAGTATTAGCACATGCTGAAATTTTAGAACTTCTCCGAACAAGTTAATTGAACGCTTTAAAACTACGAATTGCATCCAGAACCGTGGTTCGATGGTCTAGGGGTATGATTCTCGCTTCGGGTGCGAGAGGTCCCGGGTTCAACTCCCGGTCGAACCCATTCTGTTTAATCCTTTTCGAAAAACGCGATTTTCAGTTGTAATAGCGTCGTATACAACAGAATTAGAGTAACACAAGAGTGAAAATGTTATGATTATTTCCGATCCACTGAAAATTTATTATTGCATTTCTGGCCTCACATCTTTTGAATACTTCAGCCGCGACATCATGGCACGGCTCGGTGGTCTAGGGTATGATTCTCGCTTTGGGTGCGAGAGGTACCGGGAGCCCGAACGCATATTTTACTTCTCACAAATGTAATATTTCGTCGAAAAGCAACAACAAACGCAAAGAATGTATTTTACCTGCTTATAAGATCTTAAGTGTGTTTGCGCAAACCTTACGCAAGACATTCCTACAGAGTTTAGGTTTAACAGATTGCTTTCTAGAGTAAAATTTACAAACCCAACGAGGCTGGGAGATCTAGGAGTATGATTATCGCTTAGGGTACGAAAGGTCCCTGGTTAAAATCCGGGTCGAGCCCGCTTTGTTTAACCCTTTTAAAAGAAAGTAATTTCTTTGTCTTTTTCAACAAAATTTTATTAATACGGGAGTATAGAAGATATGATTCCTTTCAATCCTCTCATTCTGCCTGAAAATTTGTTATTGCGTTTATCTCGTAATACCTGTTGAACTCTTGGGTCCTTCTTGTGTACTGTGGCTCGATGGTCTAGGGGTATGATTCTCGCTTTGGGTGCGAGAGGTCCCGGGTTCAAATCCCGGTCGAGCCCGAACGTCTCATTTTATTTCATCCAAGTATAACAGGCATATTGACACTGTACAAATAAAAATTCGAAGAATGCATTTTACCTGCGAATGAGATCTGCGAGCCCTTTGAACAATCTTTTACCGATTCGGCATGCAAGACTTTTCTACAAAGTTCTTAGTAGATTGCTTTCCACGATAACGTTCACAAAACTAACTCTAACGAGGCTCGGTGGTCTAGGGTATGATTCTCGCTTAGGGTGCGAGAGGTCCCGGGTTCAAATCCCGGCCGAGCCCTAAGTGCTCTTTCTTTTCCAGGATTTTTGTATTTATTTCTTCGAAGATTATTTTTGAATTGTCCACAGGATACCATACATCACGAGGGTATTGAACACGAAACACGTGAATTTCGAGAAACATCTAGATACGGCGATCTACGTAAACAGCCAATCAAAATTTTCCATTCCGATTTTTTTCTTTGGACATTTAAACCTTATAAATCTGACATTTCTGAAGTAGAATAGATTGCACGTGTTGCATAGTGGCAATCTTTTGAAAATTATTTTAAATGGACTAAATTCCTAACAATTTTAAATAAGAAAGTATTGAGATAATATTGCTACTGAGCATTTCGTGGTAAAGAAAGTGTTTAAAGTTCCAAGAGGCTAATGAAAGAGTAAACAAAAATCCAAACTTAGTTCTGTGTTCTAGTGACTGTTAATGAGAAATCAGAGTGCGCGTCGTCCAGTTTTGAGTTCCGAACCAAGCCTGATGTGTAAAACGTTTCCTCTCAAATGGAACAAATGACACCCAAAAAGGAACTCTGGTCGACAATTGTCCGGGAATGTAAAAAACGAAGCACGTTGCCTGTTTAAGAGAAATGGCTCGTTTAATCTTGCACACAAGTATTAGCACATGCTGAAATTTTAGAACTTCTCCGAACAAGTTAATTGAACGCTTTAAAACTACGAATTGCATCCAGAACCGTGGTTCGATGGTCTAGGGGTATGATTCTCGCTTCGGGTGCGAGAGGTCCCGGGTTCAACTCCCGGTCGAACCCATTCTGTTTAATCCTTTTCGAAAAACGCGATTTTCAGTTGTAATAGCGTCGTATACAACAGAATTAGAGTAACACAAGAGTGAAAATGTTATGATTATTTCTGATCCACTGAAAATTTATTATTGCATTTCTGGCCTCACATCTTTTGAATACTTCAGCCGCGACATCATGGCACGGCTCGGTGGTCTAGGGGTATGATTCTCGCTTTGGGTGCGAGAGGTCCCGGGTTTAAATCCCGGTCGAGCCCGAACGCATATTTTACTTCTCACAAATGTAATATTTCGTCGAAAAGCAACAACAAACGCAAAGAATGTATTTTACCTGCTTATAAGATCTTAAGTGTGTTTGCGCAAACCTTACGCAAGACATTCCTACAGAGTTTAGGTTTAACAGATTGCTTTCTAGAGAAAAATTTACAAACCCAACGAGGCTGGGAGATCTAGGAGTATGATTATCGCTTAGGGTACGAAAGGTCCTTGGTTAAAATCCGGTCGAGCCCGCTTTGTTTAACCCTTTTAAAAGAAAGTAATTTCTTTGTCTTTTTCAACAAAATTTTATTAATACGGGAGTATAGAAGATATGATTCCTTTCAATCCTCTCATTCTGCCTGAAAATTTGTTATTGCGTTTATCTCGTAATACCTGTTGAACTCTTGGGTCCTTCTTGTGTACTGTGGCTCGATGGTCTAGGGGTATGATTCTCGCTTTGGGTGCGAGAGGTCCCGGGTTTCAAATCCCGGTCGAGCCCGAACGCATATTTTACTTCTCACAAATGTAATATTTCGTCGAAAAGCAACAACAAACGCAAAGAATGTATTTTACCTGCTTATAAGATCTTAAGTGTGTTTGCGCAAACCTTACGCAAGACATTCCTACAGAGTTTAGGTTTAACAGATTGCTTTCTAGAGAAAAATTTACAAACCCAACGAGGCTGGGAGATCTAGGAGTATGATTATCGCTTAGGGTACGAAAGGTCCTTGGTTAAAATCCGGTCGAGCCCGCTTTGTTTAACCCTTTTAAAAGAAAGTAATTTCTTTGTCTTTTTCAACAAAATTTTATTAATACGGGAGTATAGAAGATATGATTCCTTTCAATCCTCTCATTCTGCCTGAAAATTTGTTATTGCGTTTATCTCGTAATACCTGTTGAACTCTTGGGTCCTTCTTGTGTACTGTGGCTCGATGGTCTAGGGGTATGATTCTCGCTTTGGGTGCGAGAGGTCCCGGGTTCAAATCCCGGTCGAGCCCGAACGTCTCATTTTATTTCATCCAAGTATAACAGGCATATTGACACTGTACAAATAAAAATTCGAAGAATGCATTTTACCTGCGAATGAGATCTGCGAGCCCTTTGAACAATCTTTTACCGATTCGGCATGCAAGACTTTTCTACAAAGTTCTTAGTAGATTGCTTTCCACGATAACGTTCACAAAACTAACTCTAACGAGGCTCGGTGGTCT